GTTGGCTTGGTTGTTGACGTGTGTTGTGACACGCGTTTCATTTGTTTTTTAATTTACACCCCGCCGTGCTTTAGATTTTAGTGCCCATCTTATTTGTCAGATTTCTTTGTACTAAATAAATGACAGATCTGTCATGTTTTGCGAATCCCGTTTTAAAGGCATCACGGTAGATTTCACGTTTCCCTGCTGACATTTCAGATGTTCACACCAGACTGGTCTTCTTCGGATAATTACGCATGGAGCTGAAGGAAATAATGGGCCAGAAAACGATGTCAGGCTGTTTTCATGCCAGATTAAAAATATTTTTTGTAGTAGCGGACAGAGTAGAGGAATATTGGCGAGAGACGGTTCTGAAAGATCGTTTAAAGAATGAAGCCAACGTTGAAAAGTTAGAATTGAGCATTATAAGCTGAAAACTGCCGTAGTTGTTGGCGTTCCACTTTTTCCCAGGGTCGCGCAAAACGACCCATGCGACCCTCTGGCTACACCACTGGCTCATAGGCCCAAAGAACCGGATTCAAGAGCTAAGGCAACAATGTTGTAATATTTCCATTAAAAGATGGAATACATTGCGCTAGTTTGGCTGTTGCGCTTACGCTGTCTGTAATCGGCCTTTAGCCTTGAAATCTTTTTACGAATCAACCTTCAGCATGGAAAGGTTATCGCAGAAAAGGGCGCGCCATCTACTTAGGTTATTCATGACTTGGTAATCCACTCGTGTATTGCCCCAATGAAACAATTGGGAGTTGGCCGGAAGCAGAAAGCCCTCAGCGAGCCACCACTCTGCACGATAGAGTATTCGACGGTCTCCCGACCTTCAGGCCACAGCAAAATCCTGGCGATACACCCCAGACAGCATGCGCCTTCTTTCGGAGCTGTTTTGCTTTTCTGATTAGAGCCCTTTCGACCAGAAAAGATAATTTCAGGGCTATGGGATGAAGGAAGATGGTTAACGGTGGAGCAGACTTGCATGCGTCTGGGGAGCCAACCGCCGGGCTTTAACCCGCGCATGCGCGCTGGACACCCGGTCGGGGTCCCCCTTCCCACAGGGCTCTCGGCCCACTCGTGGCTGACGCATGCATCCTGCCCCGGACGAGCGGGGTGTCGCGAGGGCGCAGCATGAAGCAAGATCAAGGATAAGAGGGATGGGTACGGAGATATTTCGAATGGTTGGCATTGCAATGCTGATGCGTTGCCGACATCGGATACAGAACAGTTGTCATACAGAGCTTGCATTAACCTTGACCCCTGAATCCGCCACCCAGTGCAATGGGCAGCGTTGCCTCCGGCTTAACCAGACGTGACTTGGGGGCCTTTACGCGTCGTGCAACGGTGCGACACGGCCGCCCCGTACCATCACCGGTAACTTCAAGTGAGTATGATAGCCGCCAGACGGCAGGACGGTTGATCGAACGTTCGGTAGTCCACCACTTTTTGCGCCCAGAAGTGATGGCTCCATGGAGGGTTAAAAGGTGGGATCGGTTACATCGCATTTTGTGGTGTTTCTTTTTACGGGACGCCAAGGACGTAAAATTTAGTTTTGAAAAAGTCGGGTAAAAAAGTCCCCCACAGGTCTACCCCGTTGTCTGGCCCATGCTAACAGCTTCGGAAACGACCAAAACACTGCGATGCCAGGTAAGCGCACGAAAAGATCCATGGATGTAGAGTACTATTCAGCTCGTGAGACTGCAGTCCCTCCCCCCCCCCCAGCCCCGTTTTGTGAAGAAAGTGGGTCAAATCCGAGGAAAACATGTTCTGAGCGTGCTTTGGAAGCAGGTTCGCCATTTTGAGCTGTCCTTCCCCGCCCCCCCCCCCCATCCCCCACCCCTCCCCTCCCTTTCCTACCCAATGCATTTTGTGAAACCCGACTTCTGCATTAGCACGGTTGGTTTACTTGTACGCGAAGGTTCACAAGAGGATGCATGTGCATACATTGCCTTCACTAAATCAACCACGCGTGCGGCTGAAACAATGTTTACGGTGAACAACACCGCTAAGTCACAAAGCTAAGCGGGTCACATCGTAATTCAAACTAGAGCACGGCATCGGCACAGGAGACACGTAACCGGCCCCTCGTCGGGACCTGGGCTGGGTGCGGCGGTGATCGGTCTGCCGCGAGCAACGGCAGCAGCAGCGAACCGGTGTCCGACGGACCGTCGGCAGGCGGCGCTGCCGCGGCGGGTGGGCTTGGTCGGCCGGTCGGCCGGGCTCAGCTGGAGCAGCGGGCAGCCAGCGGCGAGTGGGCTGGGTCGGCCTGTTGGCCAGACTCAGCTAGAGCAGCGGGCAGCCAGTGGCGGGTGCCGATCGGACCCTGTGCAGTGTCGCAGGGACAACCGACCACCCATCAGGCGAGTCGACAGCTCTGATCGGCGGTGTTCTGCACACTGCAGCCGCTTCCGCCAGTCATGCTTTAACCCCAGCTGCACAAGGCTCCAGGACTCGCTATGCAGACAAGACTATACCCTGCACACCAACCGGACATAAATATACACATGACATTACATATAACGTTGTTTTTTGATGATATCTTTTGCAGCAGTGGTCCTTAAAGCACGACTGGCTTCATCCAAGCACGATCTTCCGGGGTATACACCTCTCCATATCCCGTCAGTTTCAGTTGGACCCTTCTAACCAATGCAAAATCTCTAACGACTACTTCCAGTGTTGATCTAAAACTTTATATAAACAGTATGAGGGAAGTAAGGGTTAGGATGGGCACTATGGCGCTGAGAGGCTACTTATACGCCGAAGGCTTACTCTTTTTTATTTTGGGGCAGATCTTGGCCTCAGTGCTTATTTTTGCTTGTCGCTCCTAAACAATTCGTTTCAGTGCCCAGAAATTTGGTGATTTTTAATGCAATCTGTACGTAAGTGTAACTCCCAATTTTAAAAAAAATCGGTCGCACAGAGGCGTTATGCAATCGCAATCGTTTTTGGTAGACGGATTCCTTTGCCAGGTGGGTGTCAAATGCAAGGATGTAAGGCACTCATCAGTGTATTTTACAGAAAAATAAAGGCACCGTTTATAGTCATGTACATCCTACAGTCTTACTGTGTATGCAAATTTGCTGATAGAGGTAAACTCGGGTACTGCAAAATTTGGAACACACCCCTGCATTGCCGACAGGTATTGTAGTGTATATTGATTGTGCATCGTGTTATTTGCCTATTTGCATGTGCCGCCGGTGTATATCGAAATCCTTCCCTACTGCGGGTGTTGCGTCAGGACATGACAACAAGAAGATTCGCCACAGGCGGTTCCAGGCGCCCATCTCGGGGGTGCGTCTCTGTTGCCTTAGGCTAAATGAAAACGAGTGAGTGCAGTAGAGCTACTTCCATCATATTTGGGAGAAAAATAAAGGCAGAAAATTTGGTCATACAGTCGTTTGCAAGCGCCATGTTGACTATGTATCATTAATATTTGGCAAGATCGTGTTTAGACATCCGAAGATGGAAGAGCCAAGCAGGGGCCCGGAAGAAAGCGATGCAATGCCGCTTACTCCTGATTTGTTATCTGTTACCATTTCCGTGTAATGCACGCAACATCACAAACCATCCAAAGTAAGCTAAAAATGGTATGCATTTATCTTTTTAACCGTCACTTTGTTTTTAAATCCCATAAAAATCATCTAAAATCTAATTTCGTTTTTCAACTCCGAGTATATGTGAGATCCACACTTTCCAAGCATAACTTCGTTTGTCCAATCACTTTGGTGGTTCCTAAACATAAGCACGTTGCTGTTTCCTAAAATATCCAAACTAGCAGTACTTCACAAACCACTACTTGATTCATTAATTTTGGGTAGCGTAGAAAAAAGATGCTGCTCAGGCCAACTGAATGGCGTTTGTCCCATCAAAATTGGTTGTGCGGTTCCAGAGACCTTCGGGACAGCAAATATCCCTAAACTCTGCAGGTTAACGTTTATCACTCACAGGCTGCTGAGAGTAAGAATCAGACGTTTTCCACCGTACTGCCCTACATTAAGATACGCTAGCAAGTTCGTTCACGTGGATAAGGAATTTGATGCATACTTTTAAAATGACATGAATCGGAAAAGGAACAGTCTTTTATGATGCAGCACGCGTGTTAGTGCGTAAGTCTTAGATTCGGGTTGAGGTGGAGAAGATAGACCAAATGGTTGGTGAAATGAATTGCCAGCGAAACAAAACTAAAATAAAAACAGGCTAATTAGGAGGATATTATGTAAACTTTTATGCATGGAGGCTAAACTTTTAGAATGCTTCCAAACTTAAAAAATCATTTTAAAGCATTCGAGGTGTACTCTGCAAGTATGCGTAATCGCACACGCCGACAATGACCAAAAATGGCCATCTACCAGGGATTTTCATATCAAAACATAGCTAGCAAGCCATGCATATTCGATATCAGGACATATTTCTGACCCAAGCTAAGTGAATGTACGTCGAATATAAGTTGCATTACTGACTGACAGCTAAGTGGCAGTGCCCAACACAAAAACTCATCTTCGCAAAGAGTAAAGGCCCGCAAGCAGCAATGACCACTATCTGCTCCTTCTGAGAGGCGGCGAACAGCTGTATGGAGCCTTCAAGACATTTAGTGCAGGTCACAACACACAACATGCGTATTTCAGTCATCCGGCAAGTCCGGCCATGCGGTATAAGTAATTCGATTTGCTCCATATAGTACAAAAAGCCACTAGCATGTCAATAACTCGGTCGAATAACAAAACCGTTCGGCGTTGACAGCGTCACGGGGGCCCCGTAATCCAGTAAGCCCTATAACTCCCCTAGCAATGAAAGCACCCAATGAAGCAAGGGCGCGCCCGCGGGGGCGGCACATGCCTATCTGACCTGGCCAGGTATGGTCGTGTCCCCTCGGTGACCGGTGGCGCCACCTGCACCCGTTCTCCCTCCGCCCGGCTCGAGCCACTTGCTGCCTGGGTCTGGCGAGTAGAGGATATCCGCCGCCGGGTCCCCACGCGCGTGGCCAGCCCGGCTCCACTGCCCCCGCCCGCTCCCGCCCGGGGCGTGCGTCAGCGTGTCAGTGTCGCCGGTGGTGTCGCGCTCGCGTCGGACTCGCTTCGCCGTGGTCAAGCGTGTCGGACTGCCCCTGCTTTCGCGCGTGCGAGTAACACTGTGCTACCGGTTGTGACTCTGCGAGGTCGAACGGTCACACAGACGTCCCAGCGGCGTTTCCCTCGCCGGACCCTGCCCGTGGCTGCACGTGCGACGCTCCGTCACGGCGTCGCACGTGGTCGGGCCGGTGAGGGCGTTCGCACGTGTGCCGCGCGCCCGCGGTCGGTGGCGTGTCCCGAGCCACGTGCTGCCGGCGCCGGCGAGACGGCCGCTGCAGAGCGGAGCGAGGGCGCACAGGGCTCGGTTGGCGCCTGTGTGGCCGGGCTGCGTTTGAGCGGGTTAACGGCGGTCGGTGTGGAAGGCGACGACGGCGACGGCGGTGTGGTGCGGGACTGCCGGCCGTGCTCGATCCCTTGCAGCGGCTGACACCAGTCCGGGCGAGACGGCGCTGCGCTGACCCTGGTGAGCAGGAGCGGCAGGTGGTGTGGTTGGGGATGGACCTGTGACACTGCTGGTGGTGCAGCAAACATTGTGTGATGGGGGATTTGGTACTACACAGGAAAATAATGCGCTCGAAAACACGCATGAAGCACTGCTTCTCCCTGAAGGTACATCGCTCCCCTAATCTCACGATTATTTGTGTTCACCAGTGTTGTCGAACTGAGATTACCAAGAACTGGCCGTAATATCACTAAACGAGCAAAACCCTGTCTAGTTTATAGAAAGCCAGCACTCGCACCCCCTCCCCTCTCCCCTCCAATGAGACCCCGCTCAGGCTTACAGATAGCAGTTTAAAAAGTGTATTCGCTGACGCTACATACTTCTTCTTCATTTACAGGTGTAGTTTTCCCTTTCATTTCATTATCCTCCAGTGTTGATGTGACTTTCATCAGGTCCAGTCCCATAGCTGTGAAACTTTTGAACTTGCTTCGCTTGCTAGCAAGAAGCGCTGGGTCATGTTTTCACCTTACACACATTCCACTTTTTATGAGGTTTCTTGCATGTAGCGCCTGTACGTACTAGCATTGTCTGTAACGAATTTGACGTGTAAATACGTATTGAGTTGGCGGCGCAAATAGTTAGACCCCACTTCTTGCTCACACGATACAAATAACTCAGCGCCAAAGCGTCAGATAGTAACCCATGTATGAAATCTTGTTAATCATGGTAAATCTGAAATGTCTTTTTAAGAACTGTTGTTAATCATGTTAAAATCATAAAAATCTTGTTAATAATGGTAAATATAAAATGTCTACCTAGTTCATGATTTAATGTCATTGGAGGAAGATCGGAAATTACTTGACAACCAAGCTTAGAACTACTTGCGAATGTCATGAAATGGTCTTGGTGCGCGCAGGACAATGCTATTGATTAAAGGCTATGAGTTTCTGGTAGGCAGATGGTGTGAACGGCAGAGGTATATCGTGTTTGCACAATGTTGTGATACGTTTGTTCTCAAATGGGTTGTATACACATTCAGTGTTGATCAACTTCCCAATCATGCCTTGGCTTGAGAGCCTGCTTCTGCGTCATCGTTATCAGTCTTACTCCGCATGGTTTAATTCGAATATCGACTGTAGTGCATTGGAATATCGACTGTAGTGCATGCAACGTGCACTACAACAAAAGGTATGTAGTGCACGTTGTGGTTGAAAGAAATCGCTGACGTTATTGGTTAGACTGTTGTCCTTCGGGGAACTGTAAACCAGACCAACATGGTTTGGGAGCCCAATATTTGTCATTTTCCCATATTGCCCACGTCTCATTTGTGAAGCTTAAGCAATATCATTATCTGCGTACGTAACTTCGAAATCTTCTCTATTATGTGTGTAGCTATTACATTTCATGTCAATCCGTGACTTAGAGCCAGCCGCATCGTGAAAACCATGTCAATGATTTTGACGCATTTTTATGGAGTTCATTGTGGGAGTGTTTGCCGGAACCGTCCGCTTTGATTTTTGTCGTATAACGCCTTTCATTTGCGATGGGAAACCTTAACTGTCATATCTGCCGACTTTCGTAAGCAATATAATTATTGCAGCATGTTAGAAAAGGATACGCGTTATAAATGTAATGACCGTTCGAAACATCATGAAAGCCTACAGAATAGTCAAGCCCATATGTTTTAAAGATGCTTCATGGTTGCACTATATCGATGTGATCACGAGCGGGAACGCGGAAAAAGTGTGCATTATTCACTCTTAACCGGCTTTTCGACAATTTCGTTCGTTTTATGCTTTCCTCTACCATGTTAACAGACCTTCACGAGGTTCCGATGCTGTTCCTAGCCCCACTTGCCCCTTAATGAAAACGGAACTCTTGGTCTTGGCTCCCACTGGCTCTTTCGTAAGCACCAGCTTCTTGTTCCTGGATCCCACTGCTTCTTTTGCGACACGGGACCCGATTCTCACGGCTCCTTTCGTGAACCTCATACACCAGCTCTTGGTTTCCATTCATCTTTCCACAGACGCCGAACTCTGGTTCCTAGTTCCTATCGGTTCGCTCTCGAGACACCAGGTCTTGCTTCTTGGTTTTCATTGACTCATCCGTGAAGGCCATATCAGCATTTGACACTTGTTTACCAATGAACAGATATGTCGTCTGAAATAAAGGATATCATGCATTGATTTTGTACCATTTACGCATGTAATCAGGTATATGAGCGCAATGCATGGATTTACACACGTTCCTGGGGAAACATCAGCTAAAATCCTGCCGGTTGCTGGTTCCTTTGGCTCAGTAATGTGTCCCGGCTTTACTAGACCATAAGTGTGATTCCAGGTAAGATTTGTTTCTCGCTGGATCTCTGGGCTTTGTGTCCCACTGGACCTTCGTTCTTCCTCGACTGCTGAATGTGCTGTATCCTAGTTTTCCTGGACTTTCGGCTTGGCTCTAGGCTCCTTGATTTGTTTTTGGCCCCGGAACCAGGAGCCAGGAACTTGGACTGGGACAAAATCTACGGAACCAGGCACTTGTCTGCATGCTGAATAATGTTCAACATACACCTCCTCGAGACCTCCGCTGGTAGCGGGACTCGCTATGCCGTTCCTGCCGGCCTCAGATCCGTTATCCTGGGGTCCCACTCGGGCATGAGCGAGCACCTGGTTTAGTACGGTAAGCGTAAATGTTGTATATATCCCTAATGCCTCCAATACGCCTCTGGTCAGTCCCTGACATGACAAACGCCGCCACAAATTACTATCTAGAGCAGCATGCTTTTACTGCACAGTCAGCTGATATAAGCACCAGTTTGGTTGCATTACAAAAAGTGGTCCATTGTTGTTAAAGATGGTATCTCCAGCTGAAAAGGCGGCCAAACCGTTCTCCGCCTCCATCATCGTCCATGGAATAATTATCTTAATCAACTCAATTAGGAAACGAGTGGGGCGCGCGGGGAAGGAGGGTGACGTAATTTGACGTCCCTCTGGCGGCCTCTGCCCGTCTCCGCGCAGCTGAGGTCGAATGAAAGTGGCGGTGGCGCGACGGCGTGCCCGGCTGCGACACGACCACGCAGGGGACGTGTGCGCAGAGGCGGTCACGCGGCAACGCATGCACGTGGTGACCGCGGCCCAGCAGCCCTTCCTCAGGCACGCCGCCTGAGGGCAGCGCGCATGCCCTGGTCGACTCGGCTGGAATGGTTGGGAACAGTCCCCCACGAATGCTCAATGCTCGGTCAAATCATCTGCCCAGCTCCATTGATAGGGTTCCTTGTCTGATGGACTGCTAGGTTAAATATGTGGTTAAAAAGAAAAGAAAAGCAGAAGAGAAAAGGAAAAACGGGGCCCGCCTGTCTCTTTGTGACTTGGTTGGCATAGTGTTGATTTGAATAGGACCGCCATGCCAGTGGTTTATGCGTAACATTTGTTGTTAATACAGAAACAGGAGATAGTTATCACCTTAACACTGCGGATTTCGAATTTCGACACCACTTTTCGTCCGTCAGGATAAAGCACCACGCGAGCAGCGGACCGTCGGCAGTGCGTCTTGGAGGCGTAGGAACGACCCATGTCGCCAGTGCGTCTTGGAGGCGTAGGAACGACCCATGTCGCCAGTGCACACATCACGTTCCAAAATTTATGTATTTTATAAATAGAGAGAGAGAGAGAGAGAGATAGAGAGAGAAAGGAGAGAGAGAGAGAGGAGAGGGAGAGAGAGAGAGAGAGAGTTTAATGCTCGACTGACTGCTTTTAAAGCCATGTGTTTGAAATATGACAATTTGTAGTATGTGAGATCTCTCCTGCTTATTGTGCGCAAACTGTTATAGCTATTTACATCAGCATCAGTTTCGTCGGTTGTCGGCACAGAGTCTATGAAATATATTAACAATATCCAGAAGTGGTATCTCATTCTCGAAATCTTAGGTGTGTTTTTATAGCATTTTGTGTCAGCACGTGAAAACATTGAAGGCACATGCTCATGAGTCTTGGCTCTGCTCCCTATTATAAAATTGGTGCCGCTATTTGGATGCTATGTGTATGGCCGCCACCCATGGCCGTCACCCGTAATTAGCATCATGTCGGCGCCACGCACTCTCGCCTTGCACCGGTCGCGGCAGCTAAAGTGAGCGGCGAAAGCTGCTCTGGGTGGTTATCCGGAGATCTTCATGGGCCGGGCGAGGCCACCCCTGGACCATAACCTATGGGCTTGTTGGTCCCCTTCTCCCAGCGTCGTGGAAAGGCCAGGCTGTGATATGTCGCGGCCCGGTGATCTCGGAGATCAACGGGACCTGGGCCTCTTGGGACGGGACGGTGTCTCAACACCGCCGCTGTGCCAAGAGGAAAGCTCTTTAACCGTCATCTTTGAACAGGAAAGGACGCTATCACCGCGGCATGCGGAAAACATCACGGAAAAACAGCGGGAAAAAATGGTGGAGCATTGTCGGACCGATGATGACGATGTCCGGATTTGCCTGTCAAAGATATCGGGGTATGTGAGATAACGTAGCAGCGCGCCTTCGCACAGGACGTTCAACACGCGCAAGCTTCTGCGCCGCACCAACTATATCACCGCTCCCCACGGGCCCTTTTCGACGGATCGAACTTTTGCTCCTTGCAACTTCTTCCTCTTTCCGAGGATAGAGTTTACGCTACAGGATCGTGGTTTGACATCGCGTAGGAGATCCAGCACATATGGTATTTCACACACGTGAGGAAGGGGACTTTTAGGGAGCGTTCTAATCATGGCTCAGGTGCAAGAAGTGGTGTATCGCTGCACGGGGCGACTGCTTTGAATGAGGTGGTGGCCAAATTTGAGGCAGCTGTGACCTTTGCCTTTTGTAAACGTATGAGCGAATTTTTTTGCTAGCACTTTATACAAGTAGGTGTGCTTCTAAGTGGGTTTAGAAAGTGAACTTTTTGAATCAGAAGCTTCAGAAAGTTGCTTAGGTAACTACCTGTGTTTGTTTATCAGTATATCTAGGGCATCTGCAGTCCACAGGCAAAAGCCCAGTTGCAAAGACAGTC